GCGGGGTCCGGGGTGCAGGGGCTGGGTCAGTTTGCAGAGTGTCTGGGTGCCTTCCCTTTTTTTTTTTTTTCATGGTTCCAGGGAGCTCCGTCCCTGTTCTCTGGCACCCCCTGCAATTGTATTTCAAGGGGCTCCATTCTGGGTTAAGCTGCAGGCCAGGCACCCACTGTGTCTGGCTGTGTCCCCTTGCTGCCTCTGAACTAGCAAGGGGACGAGCCTGACCCAACACCCAGCAGGCTCCCGTGTGGTGGGAAAGCTCCTCGGGTGGCCCGAACACCCATGGAGGGCACGAGGGCCTGGCTGGACTTGCCACAAGAGGTTGGGGCAATGCAGGGTGAGCAGCTGCCCCTTGCTCCGGAGACAAGGAGAGGGAGGCCTGGGACGCCGACCAGGAAGCTGTGGTTCCTCCTGCCCTACCTCCCTCCCACTCCCACCCATGTCTGGGCTCCCAGGCAGGGAACCCGATCCCTTCCTTTGTGCTCGGGCCAGGAGAGTGGAGAAACGCCCTCCAGTCTGGGAGCAGGGGAGGGAGGCCGAGGAGCTGGGGCAGCTGCTCCGAGCAGAGTTCTGGCTTCTTCTCAAACCCTGAGCAAGCGGGTGGGCGTGGGCGGTTGGTCCTGCCGACAAGAGTATGGTACTTGGTACTTGTTACGGTACTTGACACCCACTTTGCACCTTTCTCTGTTGTTCTCTTAGCACTTTACCTGTAGGCAGGTGGGCAGGTGGGCAGGAGTGGGGGGCGGGGCCAGGAGCTGTCCATCAGCAAGCAGCAAGACTAAGAGGTGGGCTCTGTGGCCAAAGAGACCACAGCGGGCGTATCTTTTCTGATGCTGTTTAAATGTGGGTCAGGCTCCCCCTTGTCCGGGATCGCAGCCCGCTGCCCTCCCACCCTTCTCCATCCGGCTCGGCTTGGGACTGGCCAGACTTCTCCAGGCTGAGCTGCGAGGAAGATAAACTTGTCGGGAGGCCAGAACTGATGACTCCGCAGCCTGAGGCCAGCTGGGTCTCTCATCTCATCTCCCTGTGGACACGGATTCTCTGATTCTCTGTTGGGCCCACCTGGCTGCCCCGAGGGCTCAGGAACTGAGAGAGGCCGATGCTTCCTGCCTGCATGGCCCCTGGCTCCTCCACGCCCTCCGACCTGGCCTGGGCTTGGCGCCGAATCCCCATCCTCAGTGCCCTCTCTAGAGCTAGTCGGGCAGGCCAGTGTCTACACGGCATGGCCGGGTGCTGGGGCCTGGTGCAGGAAAGCTTGGCGGGGAGGCCACTGTGCTGTCTCCACTGTTTCTCTGCTGTGCTGACCCACATCTGGACGCCTGGGTCACGCAAGGGCGGGACGTCCACCGTGGATGGGAGAGGACAGTCATTTTGCGGTTTATCTAGAGAGTATTGGGACCCTTATTTATTATTTAAACATTTGGAAAAGCACTGCTAGTTTACTCGTCTCTCCTCCTCATCCTCCTCGTCCCGGCTCGGAGGGACTCCCACCCTCACCCAGGCAGTCCAGCTCTGCTTTGCTGGCTGTCTGGAGCAGACACAGCATGGGGGTGGGAGCCCCCAAATCCGGTGAGGGAGCAGTCTCCCTTCAGATGGTACAAGTGCTCCCCAGAGGCGTCCCCAGCCCCCACCCAGTCCGGGCACCTGGCTCAGTGGCCCGCTGTGTGGCCTCCGTATTTCCTTCCTCCCTTTCCACTGGAAAGGACTTGGCCTTGGATAGCAAATTCCTCCTTGATGAATGGACCCTGTGGGAATGTTTCATACTGACAGATTATTTTTATTTATTCAATGTCATATTTAAAATATTTATTTTTTATACCAAAGGAATACTTTTTTTTTTTTTTAAGAAAAAAGAGAAATTAATAAAGAATCTGTTCTTGGCAAGGTTTTCAGCATGTACTGATGTGGGGAGATGGGGCTGGAGGGGCCGGGGTCTTGTCCTGGGCACCCAAGTGGGTGGGGTGTGGCTCAGCAAAGGGCACGAGGGTGGAAGAGGACACCTGCCCTGGGTAACAGCAGGGCCGAGCCGGCAGAACGAACTTGGGACATGCAAAACAAGGTGGACGGTGCCCAAGGAGAAAGACGCAGGGCTCAGAGCGGGGAGGGTGCGACTGGGTGTCTCAGCTGTTGCCTCCCAGCTCCTCGCTTCCCTCTCCGAGCAACCCGGTGATTTGTCCTTCCCATTTAACAGAGGAGGAAACAGGTTCGGAGAGAGCCCCCTGTCCGGGGTCCCCTGAAGTGTTTGGGGCCATTTAGGGCCACTCCTTTAGCTCCAAAGCTCACGCTCTCTTCCCCACATGGAACTCTAGGGACCTGGAAGATCCCAGCTGCCAAGGTCTCTAGCCATCAGAGGGACATGGCAGGGCCAGGCCTAAATGGTTCCTGAGCAGGAAGGAGAAGAGATGCGGAGGCCAGAACTGGTGCTGACCCCACCCTCTCTGATGGCTCTTCTGGGCCCACAGGACCCCTGCACAAAGGACACTGCTGTCCCACCCGGTCTCACACAGCAACCTTCCCCCAGCATCCCGGGGCACCTTCGCCAGGGAGTGAGCGTGGTCAGAACTGGGTAGCCAAAGCCACGAGGACATTAGCGCAGTCCCAGAGGTCTCCCGTGTTCTGCTCTGGTGTTAGGGCCTGGGCTCCCCAGCTGGGATTCATTTTGGGGACCTGGGTGGCGTTCCTGAGATTCACCTACTTCCTTGTTTGTAGGGAATGTTTGTCAGGGGCAGGTCCTGAGCTGGGTTTGAAGATGAGCAGGACACAGTCCAGGCTTGCTAGAAGCTCGCGGGCTGCTGGGGACAAGAAATGGCCCCCGGGAAGGTATGTGTGACGGAGAGGCTCCAGGAAGATGCCGAGGCCGAGACGAAGAGAGCAGCACCTCAGGTGTGGGGTGGCAGCCTCTCCGCGCTCTCTACTGAGCAGGGGCTGGGCGGCATGGGGCCACACTGGCCTCCCCGGGAGCTGAGACAGATGCAGGATCTGGGGCCAGATGGAGGTACGCAGGTAACACACACCGCTCTGCAAGGCTGACCCAATGGGAAGGGTCTAGATTCGCATCCAGAGACCTCCCTGGGCACGGTGCGCTTAGGTACACAGGTTCGTTATCTGGGATGGCTGGGCTGTGGGTGGGCCCTGTGTGAAAACCCCACAGTGTGTGGGGAGGTGCTCTCTCTAGTCCACCTGCTCATGGAATAAAATAAATAAATAAACTTAAAGAAACACACAATGATGGGCCAGCCAGGTGGCATGGTGATTAAGGTGACCGGATCCCACATAACTGACTATGGTTCTAGTCCCAGGTTTAGTAGCTTAAGCACACCAGGCACATAAGTGTGTATGCCCAAAATCCGAAGAGGAGAATGGAGGGGAAGGGATTATGGTGTGGCCAACCCCCCTGAGGGGTGATTTCTCACCTTCTCTCTGTCTCTCTTTTTTTTTTCCTTTTTTTGTGGGGCGGGGAGAGGATTTTGCTATAGGGCATGTGCGCTCGCCAGAAAGAGAGAGACAGAGAGACAGAAAGCGAGAAATCACCCCCCAGGGGGGATGGTCACACCGCAATCCCTTCTCCTCCATTCTCCTCTCGGGATCTTGGGCACGCACGCACACACACACCCGGAATGAGTTTTAGGCCACCGGGTCCGAGACTCGAACCGCAATCGACTACATGGGAGTTCAGCAACATAGCCATTATGCTAACTGCTGGTTCCTCTCTATCTCTCTGCAGGGAATGCATGCGGGTACCCTAAAAGCAAACTGGGAAAGAAAAAAAAAAAGGATAATCTTGGCCTCACCCCCCACCCTAGACCTTTGGGAATCAGAATCTACCTTTAACAAGATCCCAGGCGAGCTGTGTGCACGCTGAATAAGGCCACCCTGCCCTTCATCTCCTACTTGCAGGACTCCGCCAGGCCAAGTGCAAGAGCCTGGAGGGCGAGGCAGCCCACAGCTGTTCCTGTCTTCCCTAACGTGCAGCCCGGCATCTCTCCACCCCTCCAGCTGGCCGAGTCTCCGGACCATGCCACACCCGCCAACGGCCTCCCAGCCCGCCCAGGGCTGGGAACACTCTCTCCCCTTAGCTCAGGCAAGAGGAAGCTGAAACTTTTCAACAGAAATCTTTACTAGGAAACTAGAGGGAAAGAAAACGCACGTGCCAGAGCA